CTCTATTCACAGTACTAGGTTAAAGTTAAATTATTGGGGCTGGGGATATAGCTCAGCGACACAGTGCCTGCTTGGCAAGCACAAGGTCCTGAGTTCAATTCCCAATACCAAAATTAATTAATTAATTAATTTCATTACTCACAGCAACCCTTTGCAGTAGATTTTCACCCTATTTTACAAAGGGAAAAGGGGAAGCTCAGAAAAGTTACTCATAACTAGCTAGTCACAGAGGAGACCTAAATTCAGCTCACACCCATCACATAAATGCATCCTGAGCTTAACCACTCTGCAGAACCGAGTCCACCAGCCGAGTCCTAGATAAACTAGCCCACTTCACACGCCCGCCTGAAACAGCATGCACAGTGGACTGTAAAACAGTCTCCGCAAGAGAAGTTTCTCTAGAAATCTACCCTGACAGCAGCGGCCAGATCACAAAATTACAACAGGAGCAACCAGAGGTTGGGACCCAAATCATGTAGCTGCTGTTTTTTTCCCCTGTCTCTGTCACTCTTTGACATGCCTTGCTTTGTTCTACTAGGCTTTCTTTGAAAAGCAGATCATTTGGCAGAATTCTGAGGCCTACAGATCCAAGGATCTTAATAGTAACTTTATATGCTGTCTGGTGTTCTGCCTCTAAACCCCTGAGACACACGCGAGCACATTGTACTTTCCTTTTTACTTTTTCAAAGGATTTTTAGACTCTGCACCAGGAACACCGAACGCAGGAAGTTCCGTTATTTAAGGAGAACAAACATAACTATCTTTCTTGCTCTTGTGTGATACATGACTCTTAAACTTCTGTGTGCGTCACCCGCTTGAGAACGTGTCAAAATGCCAACTGCGGGGTCCTCTGCTCACCCTGCCTGCGGTGGAGCCCAAGAGTCTGCACCGTGCCCAGGTCCCCTATAAGGCTGCTGCTGCATAAAGCAAACAGCAAGGAACTGACCTCGCCTATAGGTAGGCACTACTCGGAAAGCCTGGGACGCACCGAGTAACCTGGGGATGACCGTCAGCTAGGCTTCTACCGGGCAGCTGGTCTCCAAGGTGAGCGAGCAGGGAAGGAGCAGCCTCTGTTTCAAGCTGGGTGCAGCTCAGGAGGGGAGAGGAATCAAGCGCCATCAGCCAACTTGCTGTGACACCCCTGCACTTAGTAATACAATAAGTTATTGGGGAAGTTTCACCTCTTGCTTCCCCAGGGGCTCACTCTGGGGCTGATTCCCTCTGGAGGGTGAATGAGAAACACTGGTAATTAAAAGTATCAGGCAGAGTGCAGGAGGATGTTTGTACTCTGCTGAGCCCCTGGGCCACAGGGGAAATCAGGGCGCGCCTGCACGGCCTGGATAATGAACAGTTAGAAAGAAAGACAGGTAGGCACTGAGGACCTCGTCCCTGGTGGAGGATATTAAGGTCCAGTGTGCTTACAAACTTGAGGCTTGCAGAGAAACTTCTGTGAACTGAAGAAAACACGCAGATGATCCTAATTTCCCAGGAGACCCCACGGTTAAACTGTCATTACTGAAACTCTGTGTGCCACTATACGACTTGGGGCGAAAGGCAGGAAGCCACCTACTTAGCGGGCGGGTCCTACGGTAGGAGAGCCGCTGGGAGACAGCCAGGGTTGAACATGGAGATGCTAGCCAAGTGGAGCTTTTGGTTAACAAATGGCCCTTTCTGCCAGGCGCTGCCATTATAAGCATGTTTTCAGCATAGTTTCATGTTTACATGAAGCCATAAATGAGCCATTACTCGGCCTTCTCTGTAGTTACTCGGCCTTCTCTGATTAAAGGGCCATTTAATCAAGGACAATGAAACTAGCTACCTTTATTACGCTTCTGGACATTTTATGGATTGAGTATTTTTCTTTTACATCTAGTTCATCTCTACTTAAAAAATGTCTGTGGCTTGTTGTTCTGCTTCTAGGCATCTTCCACATCATAATCACCCATGGCCAGTACTGACTTGCCAACTCTTCCACCCAACTCTCAGACTTCTATGCCCACCAGTAAATTCACTGTGACATACTTCAGTATGGTTTAGATCATCTCAATGAAAGACACGGCTTAAATGAAGTCCGATCTAGAAATGAAATGCCTAACAACTGTGAAACACACTGCACAAGATTCGGTGAACAAGCAAATTATGAAAAAGCACTCTGCCCGTGGGTTATGTCAGTGCTACCACCTCCGGGTCTCCTCGGTCAAATAAAGCACGTGTGGTTACAAGGAAAGTAAAGAGCTCCAGCAGCAGAAGAGGAACTGACTCTCAGTCAAGGGGCAGTTGGGATGCTACAGAAAAAACCTGGAATTTGCAGAAATGAGAACAAAGCTTAAATCCCATCTCCTTAGTCTTCTTGTTGCATGACTTTAAGAAAATAATTTTAGCTCCCTGAGGTTCAGAATTTTCATCCAAAACTTGCTAAAATATGGAAAAACACTTTTCTCTCTAGAGGGTGGCAGGGATTAAATGAAGAATAGTGTCCAATATACAAGTCTCCACGTTGGCAAAAAAACCCGAACACACAGGATTATTTTCACTCCCTCCTGCACCACCACTAACAGCACATTTAGGGATTTATTAAAACTGTAAAGAGCTATAAGGAAACAGAAACAAGGAAATGAGATGCCACTATGCAAATATCAATAAAGTTTTTAAAACAGTAACTAGGCTGAAAGAGTGGGAACTAGACGGGTGTGGTGGCACATGCCTGTAATCCCAGCACTCAGGAAGCTGAGGCAGGAGGGTCGTTGCGAGTCCAAGACCAGCCTGGGCTACAAAGTGAACTCAAGGCCAGCCTGAACTGCATAGCGAGACCCTGTCTCAAAAAGACAAATCAAAAAAAGAAAAAAAAAAGTGGGAACTAAATACACACGTGCGCGCGCGCGCACACACACACACACACACACACACACAAACACATATATATAGTAAATAAACTGGAACTTATATCTTCACAGATGGGAAATGTCAATAAAAATCAGCCATCCTGAACTAACATCAGAGGGGCTCAGGGGCCTTTCAAGGCTAGAAACAAGATTGCTTTAAAGTTTGAGGAGCCACTGGAGGACCAGACGTCTCATGCTACCCAAAAGTGCAGAGGTTATTCCAGGAAATATTAAGCCCAAGACTCTCAGTGCTCAGCGATGTCGGTACCAACCAGAGAGAAGTCGGCTGTCTAACTGAAGATGGGAGTTAATGAAACACTGACAAGCTCAATGGTGAGACCCTCATTCCCTCCACCTTTTCCTCTTATTAACCTCAGAATGCTGCAGAGAGCGTCTCTTTCGTAAACTGACTCTGGATAAAAGACCGAGGACTGTAATATCCAGAGGTCCTCCAACAAAGGACAGAGAGTGTCCTAGCGGAACACTACATGGCTGGGTCTGCCAATGAGCAAGTTCATCCGTACCCACAAAGGCTTCTGATCAGGGTTTCAAATGTGCAATTATCAGTTAGGGACAAACAACCAGGGCCCACTAGCATCCGGCAAAGACCAGTGCAAAAATAAGTAAGATGCCAAGGTGTAATAAAAATCAAATTCCAAGTTGGACTTCAAGGCATCCTTAGAACAGGTAGCCAAGCACTATCTACAGACATCAAACCCTGAGGATATAAAACAGGTAAAGAAAAGGGACAACCAAGACTGATTTAAAAAAAAAAAAACAAAAAACCTGCTATGTATATTGTACTAGCACCAGGAGGGGTGAGATATGGCCCCTGACAACTTCACATCAAGAGAGGAGCTTCCAGCCAGGCACAAGGGTGCAGGCCTGGCCCTATGATCCCAGTACTCTGGGAGGCTAAGGCAGGAAGACCAGAAGAGCCCAGCCTGGGCAACTTGGCAACTTATCAAGACCCTGTCTCAAAATTCTTTACAGAAAAAGAGGGGATGTAACTCAGTGTGAAGGCTTTGGGTTCAGACTCCTGTACTAAAAAGGGGCAGGGGTCCTCCACTAGCTCACTCAGATTATGATATCTGCATGCCCTGCCGACCGTACCGCTGATGATCTCTGACTCATCCCTGGAAACATCTGTAGTTGGAAGCCTGGACTGTGAAAAGAGGAACAAAGAGCAGATCAGCAGGGCACCACTGGCCGCAAGAGGAAAGTGCGAGTTTCCTCATGGAAAACGAGAGTGAAGGCCGATCCAGAACCATTTTGATCATATCTAAGGGATCGCCCGGAAGGAATGATGGAGCCCCTGCGAATAAAGATCTGAGCAACTGACCCTCAAAGCCACGTGACACAGGAAGAACAACCAGCTGTGATGCACAGGGTAGTTAGGAGTGCGCCACTGGACCGGGACTTGACCTACGCAAGGCAGAGCTGAACATGATCGGGTCTGGAGAGCTCCAAGCCAAGCTCACAGCACTGCTAGAGAAGTCAGAGCTGCCCTGCCCGCCTTTCCTCTGCCTCCCCATGTGTCAGCCTTGGAAACAGGGTGCAGTAGGGGTCGGATGGTGGGTGCTGAAGGCCTTGGGAAGGTGAGAGGTCACACCACCTTGCTGCTTCCTAGAGCTTTGAAGTCCTGCCAGTGAGAAGGAGTGGTTTTCCACTTTCTGTAATTTATTTACTGTTAAAAAGGATACTGCGACACTGAATTACCTTAGGACTTAGTTTTTGTGCTTTTAATCTTAAATTAAGTTTACATTTAGAATTCTTTATTAAGAGCAATCAGAAGACCTGGGGCCGCACCAAGCTTTTATTTAGGAAAGAGAAGTACACCCCTCCCTTTTCATTCTAAAAGGGCAGGAAGACACAAAAGAAGTCTTTTCACTCCATACATGAGTTAGATTTATTCAAAGCAAGCATAAAAAGAAGTCAGAGTAAAACTGAGACAATTCAAAAAAAAAAGCTTGCAAAGAGTGAAAAGCAGGTCATGTATAAAGGATGGGGTAAGAATAAAATATTAGCAGAAATGTGTTGATTATGGGAGCCGGCAGATGGTGAAGCAACATTACCAGGATGGTTAGGGACGCAGCCCCGACCCTGACCCTGTCCTACCTTCTGAGCCAAACACCTCTCCACAGTGCGCGCAGAAAAAGTGCTCAGGGTGCCAGGTCTGGTTCATTGCCGTCAGCACTCGCTGGAACAGGCACAACAGAGAGACGTTAGAAGATGCCGGAAGGCCACGTTGGACGTGTCCTGGCTTCGCGTGGGTGACCGGATGCCACACGCGCAGAGTCACTTACGTCCAGGATGGGAGCTGCGCAGTAGGCACAGCGTGGCGAGAAGAGGTGGTGGTAGTCCTTGGGGCAGTAGGCCATGCCGCTCCGCTCGAAGAAGGCACTGGTGCCGATCTCTTTCTTGCAGTGAGTACAGACGAAGTGCTCTGGATGCCACGACTGCCCCAGAGCATGGATCACCTGGGGTAGGGGCGACACCGAGCCTGAGTGGAGAGCTGGTGGATGGCCAAGGCCCAGAGGGGGCGCAGCTCTCGAGGGTGCCCTGCACACCGCATTCCACCCCTGCTCTTCCACAGCACGGAGGTTCAGACCCGGCTTCCACCCCAGGTGGCTATGGTCTGCAGGAAATGGTTTCCAGGTTGGTCTCTGATCAAAGCCTACAAGCGTTCTCTACCACTCTACTGCCCCGGGGGCCTGGGGAGGAACAACATGGCGCCCACTGGTGATGGACGAAAAGTGACTGCAGCCTCGCGCGAAAGGGACCCTGGGAGAGGAAAAGGTCAAATGCGTTTCTGCTCTATTGCTCTGGCACTCGGCTCTTGTCCCATGCATTGGTCTGGACATCCCTTTTCATGGATTTGATGAAGGATGATAGAGAGCAAGTCTGCAGCTATGATTGGAAGCCACGTTTGGCTAAAAATTGTCACCAATCTATTTAGATCAGAAGTATTTGAACAAGGGTCATCCCAGTAAAGGCAGTGCAGAGAACTCAAATTCCAGAGTTAAGATCCTGCTAGTGTCAAACCTGACATCTAATTATTTCTAGACCTCTGGCATCAGTGAAAGTCTCTGAGCTCTGTTTCCTCATCTTTATAAAGGGAACAATAACAGAACCTCCTTGAAAGGCTAAGGACAAGTACTTTAGAGGGGGGCTGGGGATTTAGCTCAGCGGCAAAAGCGCCTGCCTGGCAAGCGCAAGGTCGTGAGTTCAGTTCCCGGTACCGGAGAAAAACAAAAACA